GGGTGCGGTGAAACAGCTGAGTCACGACCAGCTGGCACTGCATCAGCTCGCAACCAGCGTTCAGTCTGACACAGTTCACGCCAATGTCGCCAACAAGAAGGGCGGATCTCTTAACCATGCACGTTGGCTCAATCTAACTGGTATGGCTCTGCGACTGTATCTCTCGGGACCATGTCCGCCAACCAAAATGGTTAAGTTGGTCAAATTCATTGTCAGATATTATGTTTCTATGCGGCTCTATGTCAGAAGGCACTAGACCTGCCAAAGCAGTGCCAACTTTTCTTCTCGCAGCGTCAAGGACGCGCGAATGAGAGCTGTGGAAACTGTGCTGCAATGTCGATAACTTGGTGGCACCCATCATGGGGGACGACGTCCACCCGGTCCGTCTCCCCTGGGTCAACTTCGATGTGTCTGGGTACGCCGGGCTGGCCGACTGGACGAGCAATGTCATCACAGCCTCCACGGACCCTGAAACCTTGTCGGACTACGAAATCTGCGACACCACCACAGAATAGCAAGAAATTCCCGCATACTCTGTGCACACATGTGATCGAAAGAGCGGTAAATCTGGTGGCCCTCATGGTTTGAAAATTTTACCGCCAGGTATCAGCGGGCAACATCTTGCGTATAACATTCCTTGTCTTGCTATTTCTTGCCTATAATTATTCTTATTACTTCACTGGTGTTTTTCGATGCTTATCGGTATGAGCAGTTCGACAAAAAGTCATCCGAGGATGCACCCAAGTGGCGCGATAGAATGGATTCACCGCGCTTCGAAGTTGGTAATGTAGTGGGTAATGAGCCTTGTGCATCTGGTTCCCATAGTGTAGTTAAATGGATGCATGCCTCCAATTGGCTTGATAATACGTATGCATCTTTGTTTTGCGAACATAATCGTCTCTAAGAACCAGCATTGGTGGCTGGAAAAACGCGATGTTTGGCACCCATGCTCAGATTCGGCCATGTGAGATGTTCATGGCAATGGTTGGAATGCTGTCCATGGCCATGGTTGGAACGTTGGCCACGGCAATGGTTGGAATGTTGTCCATGGAAATGGTGGAAATGTCGTTCATGGCAATAACTGAAATGTCTTACATTGCAATTTCTTCTCTCCTCTCCACTGGCAGGTGCTCATTGGACCCTGTATTCTCTCTCTCATTAAAATGTGACTCCATAGAGTTACATCCCACTAACGCTACAAGATGTATCAAGCACTGTGCGCATTCGTTAATCATCGATGCAGTTGTCATATTTTTCCCCAGCGCCAGATGCTGCTTCTAGCTTAAGGGCACGCAAAGAAATGGCATGCATAGGGAAAAAGCAACATCAAAATACCGCAAACTCGCATATTAATGGGAACGCGACCATCCACTGCAAACGAGTGCGCGCATTCAAGGGTAAATGAGGTGTTTGTGCCGCGCTCGGTCCCTCCCATGTGACTGGGACCTCCCTTCACACTCCAGATTGTTGAGGTTGCCAGCCACAGTCCTTTAACATCGCCGGTAAGTAGGCAGAATGTGCAGCTAGCACAGCGAGCCGCCTGAATTTAGAGCTTTTAGAACCGTCTGAAATGAAAGGAGGGGGGGGGGTGGGGGTGGGGGGGGGGGGGTAACCTGGTAGATCGGTTGCCACCAATGCTGCAAGTTGCAACATACATGCAATTGGAAAAGTCGTGCAAGCCGTTCTAATAATCACTGATGATGTTACAAGGTCGTAGTCTGAGCTAGCATCCTTCAGTTTTCATCGAGAACTCTGTCACCTGCCAGGCGCTGAAAATTTTGTGAGCTTGCCCTGCATGGCTCGGATTTCCAAAACTCAAGGAACGGTATTTCAATACACGGCCTTTAGTCGGTCGCAGGTTGAGGCACTGGATCGTCTGTCTCCCTGCGGGTCTTTGGCCCATGTACATTCTGGTGACTCTCGCAGTTTTTCGCCGCTACGTGGTCTGCCTTAAAAATGAACGCCGCATTTGCAACTTCCCTCCACCAAGACCGTCTAATCAAATTCACAACTGAGATTTCATGTTACTCACAAGTCTGACGTTCACCCTAATTTGCATGTACTTAACCATGATTTTAGGCAGAACCGCCATTGCAAGTTATAAGTTATGTCACACGTGCTTCACGCACTACATGCAGGCAGTGAGCGTTGACAAAATAGAAGGGTTTAAAGTATTTTGACTTTTACATTAAACGAACTGTATTTGCCCATCGCTAATTTGCCGGTTTCGTTTTTAAACAGCATGCCAGCTTTTATCCTACACAGCGAGTCGCCAATTTTCATTGGAAGTGAGAGAGCTGGGCATTTCCAATTAAGTCTCATCCCAATTGAACATAGTGGGATCGATCTCTCTATTGTATGGATCTCATAATTACAAGTACTTTGCCTTAAGTTATGTCAGCCCCTCTTACCATGGTTTTTTGACTCATCATTCACAGCCACACATACGCAACAAATGAGCAAATAATGGCCGGAATTCGGAATGTCCGTGTGCAGAGAAATGTAAATGCGTTACTAGCTAGCTGAACATTATGTTCTATAGCCGCTGATGTGATCATCTGAAGTGACTTCGTAAAAACTGACACATCTGACGCGAAAAGCTCCGATACGCTTTGAAGCCTGTGAAAAGCCTGTAAAACTTGGATTGTGGATTTAGATGTAAGCATGTATAGCTACGTGCGCTGGGAGTTTCTATTCTAACAACAATTGATCTTTAATCAATATGCTAGGAGTTGCTGGGTAAACGGGTTATGAAGCAGACATTTTCCATCTTACAAAAAAAAAAACTTTTTGAGCTGTGCTCGTGGTAATGGGCGTACAAGATTAAGGAAAACAACACCAGCAGGAAAGCCAATGCATTTGCATGCAGTAAATGCTTCGAATCTGTGCAGATATCGCGATTAATGGATGAGGCTGAAATATATGAGCATGCAAAAAAGCTTGCGCTGGCTGCAGTTGATAAAGAACACGGTCTATTCTTAAGCGTGTTCCAGTAGCCCTTCTCATAATGTTTTTGTAACAAATTTTATTTGTTCGTAACAAATTTTTCGGTTTGGTTGGTAACAAATTGATCTAAGAAAGGCCACAGCTTGTGTTATAAAATTAGTATTGAGCCAATGTTTGTGCGGTCGCTGATAATGCTACACTTGATAGTACAGCATTACTAGATATATAGCATGCTAGATAGTATAGCGTTGCTGTAGCATATACTAGAAGCGCCTTGAGCTCAAAGTTTTTCGACACTGTGAGTTCAAAGCTTTTTGCCCTGACGATACATAACTTTAGACATGCAAGGAGGTACTGGTTAAACGATGCTATGTAACTAGCATGGGCTATACTGACAAAGCACAGCGCTGCAATTTTACAACAAAAACTTTCACGTGTCCCAGAAGTGATTGCGCTCTCATGGATAAGGCGCTGATAATAACCTTATTCCTCGGAGAAAAACCAGAAGATTGGAGATAGAGTTGGGTTGATATTTCAGTAACATGCCTTTATGGAAGCAATAGCATAAGGTAAAGGCATGTTGCCGAAATAGCAGGCCATCTACATCTTCATTCTCCTGTTTTTTTCTCCGAAGAATAAGGCTATTACTATTGTCTGATCCATGTGAAAAATGTTCCTCGAAAATGCACTGAGCAACTCACGGATTGTGTTCTTTATCAACTGCAGGTAGAGTAAACCCCACCCCAAGTTGACATTGTCCAAGCTCGTCCATTAACGGGACTGTCTGCATAGGTTCGAAGGGTTTGCTATACGCACGGTTCGGGGTGAATTTGACCCTCCTGAGATGTCAAAGGCTAAGAGAGCAAAATACGAAAATTCGTAGGGCGGGTTGGTATGTATGTAAACTCACTAGTATCAAAAGCGGAGGTCCATACATATGATCTTCGAGTCAGGAGAGTTCTACAAGATCAAATTCAAGATTGTGTCCGAGGTTCCCCAAACCTCTTCATGCAACAGCCTTAAACACAGATACATGTTCAAAGCAGAGCGTCACAGATGTCAATATAAGGTTCGTGACCCTTTCTACATTTTGAAGGCCATGGTTGCCAAATCCTACCCGATGGTTTTGATTTTTGCATTTGAATAAGCGTTAAGTATCACGCTGGGTCGTGTGTTCGTAAAAACAAAGTGTCGGTTTGGGTAACTTTAGGTCATTGACCTTTTCTGACCTTTAAGAAGTTCAAGAAAGATCTCGGTTGCGGTCCCTGTTATAAATAAAGTTAACAAGAGCACCAGGAACTACCCTATACAGCAAAGTATCGAGTAAAAAAGTAGGTTGGTGTAGACCTGGGTCTGACCTTCATAACTGACCCTAGCTTGATGGAATTCGTTTGTTGTAGTCCTAAACTATTTTAGATATGTATGGCTTTGTCTAACATACTGTTGGATGTCCGCAATATCGCGTTTGTTGTTTATGCTTTTGCCGTCTCACCGCCAGGGCCTCTCTGCTAAGGTGCTGAATGCACGGCGGAACGCATCTGTGCGTTTTAGTGCACACGGCGGGACCCCATTTTCAACACTCTTGCGGTATAGTCCTGGCCGTTATCTGCCTGTCAGGACTCTTACCACGGCCCGTCATGCACACAGCTGGTCCATCCCGAGTCACTGGGGCTCGGCGGTCAGATCACTGTTTCGGCGGCCCAGTGCCTCGTGGGGGGAGGGGGTCTCCGAACGGACTGTTGTAAGAAAAAACGGACCGGCACGCAAACCCAGACTTGTTCTGCGTAGCGATGCGTCGCTACTCGGTATTCAAAGTCTGGCCACTGCTCTAATAATGATTACGCGTTAAGGTAGAGCATGCCATGAACAAGGTAATAACTGCCACAATTACGCAGGGCACATAATATGCCCAAAATATTTCTTACACGATATTCCAAAGACTTTACCCCTCGGTCTTTGAACACCGCAGGGCTGACCGTGATGGTAAAAATGTAGGTCCGGAGGAGCCTTGCGAGCTCCGCCCCGTGGCCGTGTCGTCCAAAAGTACACAAGGCAAAGTAAACATCTGTATAACACGCATGACGATGTTGAGCGGTTTGCCACACGAGCGCATTTGTATTACACCGCTGCTGCAAAGCAGTGTTATCTATCAAACGGTGTTAACGTTGCTTATCAATCGGCGTTGCCTATCAAATGGTACCCATCATATCAAACCAGCCATCAGCACAGCATCCGCAACAAGGGGGGTAAAATCAAGCCTAGCAATTGTCGTTCTAAAAAACAAACAACTTAACACTACTGCTGCTCAGTTTCATTCTCTGAGCACATACGGAGACAGTTCTAAGGTGAACTGACATCAGTGTTCGGTGGACTCCGCTCACTGTGCATACCGGGACCGACTTCGCCCGGTTGAACGACGAACCACTAATGAGTATTTAGCCGCTAGATGTCACTGCACAAACCACCGCCGCTGCCGCCAGCAGCAAGAGGCTCAGGGCGGAGACGGAGGCTCCGTTACAGTTGTGTTCCTCACAGAAGCAGTCATATCCGGAGCCGATCTGGGAGTAGACGCGGATCTCCCAGCCGCACCCAAGGCCATCGCCCTTGGCCATCTCGGCGCACTCCCGGATGACGTGAGGCTTTCCGCCTTCTGCAACCGGGCGGCGTCTGTCAGTCAGATCCGGAGACAGGCATGACATTCACCATGGCTGGGGCCGCTTGGACATGAGCCCCAGCATCTTCAGACAGACTGGGCTATGTCTGGGTTTTTACACCGCGTAAAGTCACAACGGAACGGACAGGAGCTCAGAAAATTGGCTCAGCAGACCAGAGCATTGAACTGCGTAGTTGCGCCTGCGCGTAAAAGCGTAAGGCTCCGCAGTTGCATCGTTGGGCAATAACATTGGCCTGTATGCTTCCCTGGGTAGACCGTCAGACTGGGCTTGCGCATTCAGACCTCGCATGGTCCGGATAACTGTCCGAGACAAAGGAAAAATATTGCCCCTGAAATTGTTCTCCCGATCGTCTGCAGGTTTCAGCTTTAGATAAGTATTTTCACCTGGTAAATCCGTTCACCAGCCCTGTCGATAGTCAGCTCTATGCATCGCCTTACCAAGCGCGTATTTTAATTAAATCAGTGAAATATTACTACAACGAAAGATTCTCTTTTAGAGAGAGCTGACAGCTGACAACGAAGCCACAACAGTAGTGCGTATACAGCTCGCATCGTTCTCGGCAGCCGATGCCTTCCGCGCGGTAGTTTGCCCAGATGCGAATGGAAGCGCATAATTGGCTAACGTGTGTCTCTCGTTTGGTGGACATCGTTGGCAGCTGCCATCACTTTGTCCTGGAGGGCTTTCTGTCATAGCATTGTCATTGTCATGTCATCATCATCATCATCATCATCATCACATCATCAGGTCATGTCATTCGATGGACGGCAGCTGACTGGATGGGCTGTTGCATGGAGGACATATCGGGTCGCGGTTGTCGCGAGGGAGAGCGTTTAGCTTTAAGCGCCTGTTGTAGAAATGAGCATGCCATTTGTTCAATACTGAACACAAGCATGCACGGCAAGCTATGGAATGTGTACTACGTATGGGCCTAGTTGACGCAGCTTCATGGTTGAAGCATACTTGTGGATACTCAAAGTTTAATGCTCGCAAGTTTATGTCACGTGTAACGCGGGACACTGCACTACTGGTTGAGGCCACCGGCAAGATGGATTAAAACGTAAATCACCGGGAGCTCCAAGTTTCATTACATGTCACGTTCTAAATATCCCAGCACTATTTGCCGGATAGGTTGAGGCAAAATTAACCAAACTGACGTATCATTAAAAGTACGACAGGGTCAATGCTCACGCAACAGTCACACACGCATCATGCACATTATTGAACAAGTGAAGTTGAGGACACACTAGTGTTTAAATGTCAGAACGTCACTAAAAACATTTAAGTGCCTACCTAAGCCTAATGAACATTCTCTCGGCGGGATGACGTCTGAGAACTAAGAATATGCTCATTTTGTACTGTTACATCTAACTGCTATGTTCCTTGTCAGTTATTGTGTATAAAAACATCACAAGTCGCTCCCAAACTTAGGACGAGGTACGAAGGGAATCACACCATTCAAAGGCACGCTATCAGGAGACAGAAGCTCTTACACCGATGGTAATCGACCTCCAATACACCTTGAAGGCCGCGTACTGTCTGCACATGAGCTCCCAACTCCTCATGCCGACAAACCGGAGCTTAAGGCGACCTTTGCTGTCACAGCACGTCGAGAACGAGCCGAGATCGCCGCGTAAACGACCATGGCGGCCCTTCTTATCTCGGCTTGTCGCAGTTGTTATCATGCTTAGCGCATATTGATAACGTCATTTCCGAATATTCATCCATCCTGAGCCAGCGACGGTATGGCGACGGCTGCGCGTTGCCGTGCGGTGGAGCCTGGCAACAGCAGCCTCGCAATACGAATGCAAAGATGAGCTGACGTACAGCCGAAACAATCCGACTTAGCCGCAGCCGTATAGCAGTCTGGGTCCTCGTGATTGCAACGCATTTCGCTGCATACTTTGGCGCCGAGCTTTACTTGTTTCCTGCGCAGACACGTGCAAAGACGATGTAATCCTCCCGGTGCGAAAAAACGCCTGTTCACAGCAATGTGACATGTAGATAATGCTCTGTTTCATATTCCGTATTTGTTATCATTTTATAATGTTCATTGCTTTATGTCACCCGTGTTGCGTTTGACCTTGACGATATACCAGGCTAGGATTCAAGGTCGACGTACCTTGAATCGTCGGGTGCGCCACAGCCTGTGTGAGGATATTAATAAACCCAACGTCAGCACGGAGAAGCATATTTTTGCGAGATGTTTTATCTTCTATCGATTATTTAAGAACAATAGCATCTCATGGTGCTTAATCTGAGCCTCTGCGCAATCCGGTTACGTGTCTGTTACTCGCTACATCGCGCGCACCATTCCTACAGCACAGTTCAACCTACACTAAGACTCAAAGCCCACGTTGCATGATCCGATAATGGGCGCTCATCGTACGCATGGTATGCGGAGGCCCAACCGGGCGGAGCGGGGTTCGCCGCAGGTGCGGCGCAGGGTTCGCAGCACCTGCGGCGCAGGGTTCGCCGCAGGTGCGGCGCGAGCGGCGCTCCACCCACCTGTGAAGGTGATCTTCCTGCAGATGTGGCGGCGCGGGCACTCCACCGCGAACCGCGCCAGGCTCGTCGCGTTGGTTGGATCGTGGCAGTCGGTCTCCTCTCTGGACGAGCAGTGCATACAGCTCAGCGCTGACACTGTGGACAGCGCGAGGGCGTTCAGTGCCACCGACAGACGTCTAGCAGGGACTGGTGTGGAGCGAGGCATGGGCGTCCCAAAACGTCAGGAAAGCTTCTGTGGTCCGCGGCTGGAGAATCAAACATCTTCCGGTGCCAAACTGCGCACAGGTTTTGCCGGTCTCTGAAAGGCCTGGAACGCTGCCATCAACGGGAAGGTCGGCTTGCAAAAAAAAACTGCACAGAAATTCCAAGAAGCCGGAACAACAGAAAACCAGGTTTTAAGCCGAGAGCCTTGACACACAACTCGTCGTATTTCGGCGCTGTTTGCACCTAGCCTGCTGTGCACGGTTAGCGGTCGAGTTTCACTGCGAACCTTGCTTGCAACCGGAGGCGTGTTAGCCTTCATCCGGTCTGGCCTTGTAGCAAGAGGCCAGGACATGTCCAGGGTGTCCACTCTCATGTCGGGGGGGGGGGGGGGGGGGGCACAACGGCCAAGAGCCGCTCGTTTATAAGTCCGGGGATCAGGATTGGGTTTCATTCTCCATCCTACTGATCCCTTAGGTTGAACAGCTTTCGTTATTCCAAAGGCAGACGTTAGAGCAAGGTGGATTGGTAGAACAGAAATATGATTTTGTGACAGTGATGTTTTCCATTGCCACTTGTTTGGTTGCTGACCATCGCGAAGGCACCAATGTCAACCACACTCGACTGCGTGCGTGCTTCATGGACGTATGGATGCGTCATTACTTTTAATGAGTCCAGTTAACGCTAGCGACTACAAACTGAAACGAAAACAGCTGCCTAACCGCTAGGCCGGGTGCTTCCGTCTCTAAAATGTCAAGCTGTTCCAGCGCCTGGCAAGAAGCTGGTCAGGAAGAAGTTTCTTGCATGGACACTAGGCCATCGGTGTCTCCGTGTTCCACCCACGCGCCGCCGAGTGTCCGTGCCAACAGACCGGTACAGGCACGGACGCAGCTTACGGCAATGGTGACTGGGGTCGGCTCGGCTGGGGTCAGATTCGGTCCGACATTCTGGGCGCCTGTAATGCGATGCGGCGCGGCACGATCATGGTGCCACGAGCACGTCTTCGCCATCAGCTGCGGCCATACGGGCATAGAACAGCTCCGATTTAGGTCAACCTTGTTTAAGCATTCCCAGAGGCTACAACCCGATGCTTCGCTCCTTTATTCCTGGTGGGTAAACGTAGACCAGAGGGTACAAAATCAGGCATCATATAGGGCTGTTACTTACTACCGCGGGTACGAGAGAGAAATTTCTCGGCGCTTGAAAAAAACAGGTTTTACTAGGGCGGTCGTTCGGGGCTTGCTGATATCTGCACTGAGGCGTAACCAACGTCGCCGTACCTGGCACCGAACCAGGTACGGTGACGGGCCGTGGGTGCAGCGCGCGGCCGCTTCCTCTATCTCCAAAGAATGGCATTAACCATGTGAGGTTATATGAAAGAAACGGTGCACAAACCGCGATCCCCCATCACCTGAGAGGGGCGCCGCCGTCGCTGCATCGAGCATCACGTGGTCGTGATTAATCGCCAATGAGCTCAACTGCATGCGCGCCCCCGGCTGTTTTAGTGCTTCCTGAATGTCGACAATCCTGCTAAGCCTGGCTTTGCATCCGTATCGAGTTATCAACCCAACGCTCATTATGCCGTCGCAGTGGCGGCCAGCATCTGTGCCTGCCTTCTCACCACGAGCCGACATGTGCCATCCACTGGCACGTGGACTCACGGCAACACCCTCTCCCCCTGCTGGCAGATACGAGAGGCCAACAAAGTCACGAAAGCTCCATACAGCGAAATTGACACAAATGTATTTTTCCTTTTCAAGCCTGGTTTTCGGGTAGCTGGCCAGAGATGCAGAGCTTTATCATGCCTGTTGGGATGCCAGCGGGGTTTGAGCTTACGGTGCTCTCGCGCGTTCGGGTTTGAGCTTACGGTGCTCTCGAGAGCGCTCTTACGGTGCTCTCGTGCTCTCGCGCGTTTGGCAAAGAACGTATTTTCTAAAATGTGAGGAATGCAGCCGCATCCCAATGGCCAGTGAGGTTCCGTCCACAGCTGGCGCGGTGATCAGAGCTCGGTGTCGCTCAAAACTCAAGGCTGGACTCGCCCTTGTGCTCTCCGTGGCCCTGGCGAGACAGGGCTTGTCCAGCACGATGTTTCGGCGCCTGAGCCTAGAGCGACAGCCTAAGCCGCGTAAAACGAGCTCGAGCGTGAGCAAAGCGAAGATGAGCTCGAGCGTCTGCGATTCGCCCTTCGCCTTGCTCGTGTCATGCAAGATGGGGAACGGGAGTCTCTGCTCCCGACCGGCCCCCCATTACGGCAGGCACGAAACTGTGCCCAGAGCAGACGGGTGCACGATGCTGCTGGTCTGTGTCCCGATCAGGCGGGTACTGAGCTGCCGGGCCGGTAACCCGATCAGGCGGGTACAGGGCTCCCAGTCGGAGCCCCGATCGGGCGGGTACAGGGCTCCATGCCGGGGCCCCCATAGGGCGGGTACGAACAACCGGCCGTTATCTCAGCAGGACAAAATGGAGGGTCCAGCTCGTTATCGAGCTGCGGAATGCTGCGGGATGCAATAATATTGATGAGATCACAACTTACGCGTGAGTCTCGTGTCTGTTGGAGTGCTAAGCTTCTAAGAAGTGGATTTCTTTGGCAGCAAAGAAACAACTCGATCACTTATCGAGTGGGCCTGCGATAATTGAAGTGACTGTGGTGATCCATGGTTGTAAGAAGATAAAATGACGCCGCAGAAAATCACAGCAATAGACGGTTGGACGAGAGTCCCAGCTCAGCGTCCCGATTTTTCTAACGGACCGTATAGGTCAGCTCATTCCACCGGAGGTATCATTTCTACGCTTGCAAATACTGTATGTACGTAAGAGATACATACTACAGAAGTAACGAAAAATAAGCCAATGAATGGTTTACAAAGCCCTCAAGCCGGATTTACGGACATTTTCGGTGAGGGCAACGGCAAAAGGGTATTGACCCAACACCGTCAATATAACCGTTCTTTAGTATTATAAAATCGTTCAATCGGTGCCTCTTGGTATATTTAAGGTCATTAACGCGACGTAGCAAACACTATCAACTCATAATACCGCAAAACCAGGAGGCGAAGATCTTTCTTTCTTACACCTAACTTAACTGGCTATAATTACCGAATTATAGCCAGTTAAAAACTTGTATAGCTATGCTAGTGAATCGGCCGCTGGCGCTATTATGGTGCTACGCACCGTCACAGTGTTCCGCGAAAAACACGTTTTTAGACACATGACAGCCGGCAGAATGAGCTCTTGGAATGTCAGGTTTTCTGTGGTTCTCAGACATCACAAGATGCCTGCCAAAGCGACCCCGTTGGGTGCTCTGTACCACGCAGTCGCATCACGGTCCATGAAGTGCCCTGATCTCAGCCTGTTCAGAGTCTCGGCAGGCCCGTCGGATTTTTGTGACACTTTTTCGGGATGCAGGTGTGAACGCACCTACTAGCCCTGGGGCACATCCCCCCCCCCCCCTCCTCTTTACCAAAAATATGGGGAATGTTAATATGCACTTGACTACTTGTTGATAGTTAAATATCTTAGGTACACAAGTGAAAATGAAAACATTGAGAGCATGCCACGTCGCTTTACGACACGCAAGAAATTGTGCGAAACTCAGTTTGCACCGAAGATGTTTGGGTTTCCACTCCCCTCATCCTATTGTTAAATCCTGCGTCCGCGAGTAGAGTGATGCAAAGACAGCCCAAATCAATACGAGGTTTCACAACTTCACGAGACCTCCTGATTTCGCAGACAGGGCTGTGATCCATCCGGTGAGAGCACTCCTGCGCCCAGAGGACACCGATACTCGGGTGGAACGCCCTTTCTCTTGCAACACGGGCCTTTGGGGTTCCAGTACCTCCAGTCCCGACTCGGTGTGAAAGACGATCCGTCTACGATGTTTGCCGTCTGTGTTTGAGGTGTGGGTGTTTGCGACGTGTGCGCTTGCAACGCGCGTGTTTGCGACGCGCATGTTTGTGTCGAGGTGGCACGCCTCCTGGCCACAGTACTGCCCCCGTGAGCCTGCCGCCGGATTCGGCTCACCGCCAATGCACGCCCTACCCCATCGGCAGGGGAGGGGGTCGGCTGGAGGAAAACTGCAGGTCAGGTGCCAGGTCCCGACCCGGCGGAGGACACAGCCTCGACACGTTGGCCACCCGCCAGAAAACAGGAGGGTTTGGTCTTCAGGTCGGTATTTTAGAGGCTGACTAACGGTAGCTGTCTTTGCCAAGGTAATCGTCCATTGTGCATGCCCGGGACGGTAACAGGGTCTTGGAGTTGACGGGCGTACTACTGTTGTTTGTTGATGGTGCAGAAAAGATGACATCAAATCCCGTGGCGAATGCGCTGTCCTAGACATCATTGATGACACCGGGAGAGTTTGCCACAGGGTATGGTGGATTATATCGATCAATGGAGCCAAACTAGAAGCCTGTGCCGTGATGATAACATATTTGTTGGCAACGGCATCCTCTATACCCTGGAAAATCCAGCCGGTGTCCTTTCGACGTCATGATGCGGTCCGGTGAGAAGGTGGCGCAATTTTCAGACCGAAGTAATAATGCTTGTACCTGGCGTTTCACCTGCATTGCCAGAAAATGTGTTCATTATTGATATCCGCGTGTTGTGTGTTTCAAAATATCAAAACTGTTTCCTTTGTGACTGAAATTTGCATTTGGCATTTCTCAAACCGTATCCTTACGGCATCTAAATCAACACGGACCTGCATTTTGCATAAATACACACGGACTTTCATAATGGTGTGGGGTAGGATGATAAACATTGCATCCCATACTACAACAACTCGCCCCGCCACCGACTTAAGCTATGTGGGGTGAAACGGATGTCGCCATGGTCCGAAGCTGCGGTGGGGGACGGGTAGGTACACAGCAGGCAGGCGCGCAGCAGGTGAGAGCACCTGCGCCGGACGTGCATACAGCAGAGTTTGGACGCCGCTGAAGACGCTGAGCTCCATGAGGTGCGTTTCTGTCGGGCAGCAGCCGGGCACGTCAGACATTCTATTGCCGAAGCTGGTAAGGACGTTACCGAAGTCTGCGGTCAGCAACGCGCAACACGATCGGGGCTCGTCTGCAAATATGCTCGTTTCCAACGAATTTTTTAAAGATGTAATCCAAAACTTTTGAGTCGATGGTGAGATCAGAGTTTGAGTTTCCGAGATCAGAGTTAACGCTAAAGAAGCATGTTTGTTCTGTTAGCTCTTAGCCCTTCTATTTGATTGTGCAATTCCAGGTCGACGGCAGAATTTAACCGCGGAAATTGAACGTGCCGCAATGCTCGGCACGGTCCGCCCTGCCCTCTAACTCCACCTCACCTTTAACACGGTCGCTGCCAACGGCCAAAGGCCATACCTGTGAAGGCCAAACAGCGAGCGCCTAAAGCGCCTGGAATTCTCTCCGCCACGCGAGGAGGAGGTGGATAAGAAGCCAGGCGCTGTAACCAGCTGAGCTACCAGGACGGACAATGCGGAGAATACGGATAATTTTGTGTGCACATCTGCATCAACACGCATACAAAACAACACTACCTAACCACACTGTCTTCTAAATGAGCGCTTCAGATGCATCCTTGACCTACTGAAGTTAGTTTCGACGCATACGGAGGTAAATTTAGGAAATAACTGACACCCACATCCACGGTGTCCACAACCACTATATCCCGCTGAGCTATTCCGGTGAGGCCCATGCAAGGACATGCAAGAGGCGCGGTGGCCTTATCCCAGTCGGTCGCCGCTGGCCATGTTCGGCCCTCCCAGTCGGGGCGTATCGGCTCTGCTCGGGAGCCCTGTCGTGACGGTCACACGCCGTGTCGCGCCGTGCTATGGAACGTGACACTGCGACCAGTCCCTTTAATCGGCCTTGAGAAAGGCTCAGCGTACAGTGAAATACGGGAACAGCGTGGGCCGCCGAGGGATCGGTGGATGGAGTGATGAGGTGGTCGCTGAAGACCCCTCACCGAACCAATGAAAAGCGAGGTTTAAGCATGTACTTCTATTTGGTCTAGGTGGCCAAGCTTGCTTGCCCACCTTGCGCGCACATAGGTGACACATGAAATTCCTACGCGAAGTGGTTGTCGAAACTTAACATCAGAGCAGCTGTTGTAACGGAAAACATGCTGACACAGTGAGATTAGCACAGATAAACTCTAAAAAGCCTTACACGTGAATATCACGTGCAGATATGACAATTTCGTTCGTCTGATGACGCTCCGCACTGAACGCTCGTTGAAACGAGCGTTCAGTGCGGTTAAGAGATGACCTTCTGGTCAACGCCTGTTCTGTGGCTGGCATCGCCAGCACCGCGTGGCTTTGCATGGGACCCTGTAGTCACGCCTATCAGTCACGCCATGTGTGTCGGGTTTGTCGCGTCTTTACAAGGTCTGAGTTCGGCCTCGGGGTCTAATCCGAATAGTCAGATTGGACTTGGCCTTCGGTTGGGTAGGATTCACGTCGTGTTATGCAGGCACACTGGGGTAAGAGACGAGGGGCTTAGGCTTTGTTTTATAGCTATTTGATATGTGATAATTTTCATAAGCATCCATGACATCTCGTTAACTGAAAACAGACAGGAGAAGCCCACAAAACGTGTTCATTTTTATATCCAAACCATATTGTATGGCGGAAGCATCGTTCTTTGAGGTTTTCTTGTGCTTCGGGGCGGTTCATGAATTATCTCGCGTTTTTTTGGTCATTTTTTAAAGCTCACCGCCTGGTTATGGGTAACGCACTGGTTATGCTAAGCGAATTCTCCCCGGACTGTGCCTTTATCCCGTAACTAGCCGTGCTGAACATAACGTCCCGGTTATGTTTTATGATAAACGGTCATGTCTGTTTGACCCCTCAGTTAGACTAGAGGTATAAAGACACAAAAGGCCAATTGCGTCCGACTTTAAGGTTTTTAAAGATTTCAAGCAAGTGACATGAGTTGCGGCCGCACCTGTGTGTAGCGCTACGCTGTCCATCCTCACCCCCACATTTCACACTTTGGTCACACCCCATCAAAACTTTTCTCCTCCCATGCATAGATGGGCTTCCCCTCAGTCTCTTAAGGATTTGTTAAAAGGATTCATCACGTCACAATGTTCTTAGTAGCCAGTGTGCCATTGACACACCTCATTTCACACGATTCGGCAGTCAACGAAACATCCAGCATGATCTGGAAACAGCTTGGCCATTACTTTTCCAAACATTTGACCACCAACAATAGCACCGTAAATTTAATAGCAGTGTCGACATTAGGCAGCAATCCTATTTTGCAAACTACCAAGCGCTTCTCACGTGGTTCATAGACTAAGCAATCTGCCGACACGCAATCATGCGACACACCGCACAATCACGGCGAACGGCGAGAACTGAGCACTTCTCGGCCCGGGTCAGAAAGTCGGGCCAGTGATACTATTGACTGCGTACATGAACACATACACACGCACGCACACACACACACCCACAGACAGACACACACTCACACACCCACACACACCCACACACACACACCCACACCCACACCCACACACCCACACACACACACACACACACACACACACACACACACACACACACACACACACACACACACACACACGCACACACACACACACACACACACACGTATATATATATATATATATATATATATATATATATATATATATATATATATATGTGACAAGAAATGCACACAAACTCTACGTTGTTCCGGTTACCTGAGGTGCACACGGCCAGCAGTATAATTCCCGACTTCCACATGATGTTGACGCAGCTGGGCGTCACGCGGCACTCGTCCTTGGTCGACCTGGAGGAGTGCGTCCGGCTCCGTCCGCCTCTGCAGCACCAGTGCCGCCCGGCGCCCCCCCCCCCCCCCTATTCATCTGCCCCGCCCGGCTTATGACCACGCGGCACGTGGAATCCGGCGTTTGAAAGCTGCTTAAATGCTGCGTGGTCGCCGTGCCCCTGGACCGCTCCGCTGAATGTGCAGGAGCTTGAGAATGATGATGCTGTTTTTGATGTTTTAAGTTGGATCCGCACAACGCTATTTTGATATAATCATATTCATATTCATTCCTCCATCCATATTCATACCCTGTCATTGGCACCACGAACATGCAATATGAAGCATGCCCGCGTTAAGATAAATTTTGGAGCAACCTTCATAAATCGCATATAGAAATATGAGCCTTTTATATTTCGTATGTGTTTCGTTGAATGCAAGTTCCTCCACCTACCTAAGTTATATCGCGCTAAATATATATATATATATATATATATATATATATATATATATATATATATATGCATATGTATCTACACGAATCAGCAAATGCGGTTTTTGAGGGTCCGAATGCACTCCTCCAGAACGTTACCATGATCGGAAAGATCATTCAGGAGTCACCACTCCAGCGTTGCAAAGCAGCACGACAGAACTTGTTGCCTGCGGCACATATTATCTGAATAGGCAACCATGGTGAACTAAAACGAAATAAGACGCACCATTTAATGATGCGCCTGCTTTCCTTACACCACAGTGTGTGTAGTTTTTACAATTCAAGGAGGTGTAAATATCTCACGGTAACATTACAGCTGTTTCAGTGCTCAGTTAACCACTTGGATTACAAAGTGTCACGCTAGAAAATCGTTTATCTTCCACATTCCTTGAAAAAACAATATTCCTTCCCGAGTGTGACATATATTTTCTTGCAGTCCCCATGTGCTATTAAAATATGGCATTAATTTTACACTGCATTCAAAGAGTTGGAGTAGTTGATCCATCGCACCACGAGACATCAGAAAAAATGCGTGGTATTGTACTCTCACCACTACGTGATGCGTGTTTCAAGATCTAGCTCAGTTTTTGCAGCGAAATGCCAGGACACTCCTTTGAACCACATTTTCGTTTAGGAAATTCGGATTGAACTGTGTGTTATTTGGTCATTGTGATCCTGCTGATATTTTGGAATCTAGGGACCGATTTTGACCCTATAGAGTTCAAAACGACCAATGGATGTTGGTTTCCTGTAAGTGGGCATACTGATTGAAAATTGTGGAGGTTGTACACAGAGGAGCAGTACAATTAGATGAAATCACAATGATGTCTTGTGTTTAGTGGACCTAAGCAAAGTGCTACAAGATGACATCTATATAACATATTGTACAAGCAAGCACAACCAGACCTTTGCTGGGGGGGGGGGGGGGGGAGGAGGCGCCAGTAACGTGATTATCCCTACACATCCCAAGAATGTGCTTGTTGAACTATACTTATTTAGCATGTTTTCGACACCAATGCGAATATTCGATCACAAACATGCAACAAAGTAGAAAACAACATCGTTTAACTCCAGTGAAACCCAACGCCATGAAACAGAACCAATTGAGAAATCGAAAGTGCCTAAATGCTTGAATTTCAGCATCGTATGTATCCTGTCAAATTTGTGTCAGATTTTTCGACGTAGCTTTGATGCATCTAACAACGTTCCTTAGGATGTCGACATTTTTACACCTTTAGCAAATGTTGGTCTTTGGTTTGTAGGGCGTAAAATGCGGTTTCACCTCCATCCCAATGAAGTACTTATTTCCCAGTGCAGAATCCAAAAAGCGTATGTACGACTCCGAGCAAGGGGGATGACGGGACACCGGAACGGTGTCATGACACCAGTGCCACAGCAAAAACTCTTGCGAGCAGGAGTGTCACATCAATTTCACGCGATATTACTTGCAATGAAGAAACCTATACGGAGTTAACATGTACAGCGAAGGCTTGACCACAAGTCTGCTGAAGCACGTATGTCGTGTATATATATATATATATATATATATATATATATATATATATATATATATATATATATGTGCGTCTTTGCATTACAGGCAGCGCCGTGTATAAGCATTGTCTGCGTAAGTTTTTGTAGTAGAGGTAATACGGGCTTAAGTTTTCGAAGCATAAGGTTTGACGAGTATCACTAATGTCGCGTGCGAGTCTTGCGCTAGAACTAAAGTCGTGTATAAGAAAATCACTGCATGTGTTTTGCAGTAGAGGTAAGGACGGCAATAATTTGTTTGGAGCAGAAGTTTTATCGTGTAGAACTAATGTAACCTTCCAGTCTTTGCACGAGAAATAACATCGTGTAAAAGTAATGAATGTATAAGTATTTGCATTAGGAGCAATGATGGGTATAAACTTTTGCAGCATGAGTTTCGTTGCATAGCCATGATGGCGTGTACTACCAGTGCGAAGTCCTAGCAGTAAGAGTGATGTTGAAGCACTCCTGTCGGTGTAGGCTTCCGTTGTAGCAGTAATATCGTGGAGTCCCATGGAAACCCCCTCTCGATTGCGCCACTGCAAACGCGTATTTGTTTCCTCTGTGGGAGTGGAGGATGTGGGAAACCGCAGTAAGAGAGATAAATGTCGCCAATGCTTGGGGAACCTCAGTCTTCTGGGCCTATTTGTTATCAGAAGGCTATGAACATGGTTATCGTAAGAACGCAGGTAGTTGGACGTAAAATTTTGGAGGAGCCCAATTCAAAAGCACCAACGGTGCTCTTGCTTAGCTACACTAAGTGTGAAGAAGCACAGGTTCTTGCGTCTTATACTGAATTATTAATTTAACTCCGCAAAGATAGGCAGGGCTCAATTCAGTATTTAGGACATATTAACAAAGATAAAAAGAATGCTGCAAAACGCATCACCACAAACTAAGAACAATTTTATTTTCTTTTACCATGACACATGGTTCTGACGTTAATCGCTTCTTTCGACCCGTGCCAGCGCTGTTGTAGTTGAGCGTCCCGCCGCTCCAAAAACAGAGACCCTCAGCGTATGACATCATCAACTGCAGCATGCTCGTTGCACATGGGACCATCCGGCTTGATGGCCAGCTGAAGTTCCTGGATGCACGTGAGACCATCCGGGTATTCGGCCTGGTGGATGATGTGCTGAAGTTTCGGGGTGCTTCTTAGGTAGCTTTGATACGCTCGGGACTTCAGACGCTCGAAAGAAGAGGAACTAGGGGCCCAAGTACCGGGGTGAGTAGCCAAAAGGTAGCCAAAGGTGGCCAAGGTTTGGGCCCTTCAAAGAGATATTTCGTGTACGACACCTCTCTTACACCCAGCAGATGGTCTCAGTAGCTGAGTAGGCCGCTACATCATTCTGCTGAAACCACTAGTGCTGCATGTTGATACCGCGTCTCTGTCTGAGACTCCTCCAGAACTAGGAGGATACCCGCCTTTACTAAACAGTACTCACGTTCACATTACCGGCCATTCGATTCTCCGAAGCAGGATGGACCGATTATGTCCTTTGCGCCGAGAGTGCACCAATCGGGGCATTTCTTGCTGTGGAGCTGTCTCTCAGCAGCCTCGGAGCAGTGTCTCAGCCATTTCGGAGCTAGCTGTCTTTCAGCCACTTCGGTGCTGTCTCTCAGCCATTAGGGAACTCTCTCTCTCTCTCTCTCTCTCTCTCTCTCTCTCTCTCTCTCTCTCCTCTCTCCTCTCTCTCTCTCTCTCTCTCTCTCTCTCTCTCTCTCTCTCTCTCTCTCTCTCTCTCTCTCTCTCTCTCTCTCTCTCTCTCTCTCTCTCTCTCTCTCTCTCTCTCTCTCTCTCTCTCTCTCTCTTTCTCTTTAACGGCGGGTCCATTAAACCACATCCAATACTTAGAGCAGTTGCTCTGGCTATGAGGTTTTCGGATAAGTTCGAGTGGGGGTGGTGGTGGCAATTTGCGCCTCCCCTCGTAATATTTTTTCCCGAAAAATGTACAAAAGCTGCGCTTGTAGCCGTGCTGGCCTTTGCATGGCTTCAGACAATTGAATAGTAGACCTATTGGGATACAAATCGATCCACCTCGTGTGGTCGCTGACCTATGGCTGGTGAAATCGTACCATGGAATCCATACCATCGAAGGCAATTTTTAGGAAATCGCTCAATCTTATGGCAACAATGAAGTCTTAGAGAAGGCCATGCACTTCAGAGATAGGGTCTTAAACAATAAGACAACTGAAGGCTGGATTGCACCAAATTTGCTTAACCTTGGGTCAGGTATGAGCGTCAGACCGCGGTCGAAAACAATTGTTTATCACTTGTCTTTTTTTTTGACTGGAGTGTCTCCTTAATTGAACAGTTTGATGCACACCTGTCTTGATAATAGGGACCGCAACAGACACCTTGCGTGGACTTCTTAAAGGTCAGCGTAGGCTGCTGACCCAAAATGGCTCAGATCAACGTTTTGTTTAGGAACATACTGCCTAACGTACTCCAGGACCCTTCAAATTAAGAAATGGAACTAATCGTATAAGGTTTTGGTCGCCGTGACTTTCTAACAGTTAAATAAGGCCAAAGGGCTTAAGTTGACACCAGTGACTTTTTGCTTAGAACAGACTTCTTTCTTTTCTTTTCAGACCTTTCAGACAGACAGACATCTAGCTTCAAGGCGACTGCATGAGGAGGTCTGGGGGCACTTTGGACACCAATCTGGGGTTTCACCATGTTCTACCTTACTCGACCAAAAATCCATAACATGGTAACCTCAAATTATGGCGTGAGTGCGTTCAGGCACCGGGTATCCAGCTCTCTGAGTTTGATGTCCCCAGCTTCCTTAGTGTTTCATATAGTACCGGTCAAATTGACCCTCTTGCACACGAGAGCGTGGTATTCAGCCGCCCACCCTGGCGCGTGTTCACACCAGTATCAAAAAGAAAACGGGTCTCATCAGAAATACACACGTCGGGAAAGGATTTCAATTGGGGTGGTTCTGTATGGAAAGTAGGCAATGCCATATTTTGAAAGCCGACCAGCTTTAGCTTTACTATATACAGGCTCTTCGCTG